ACTGCAGCTCTATCTCTATCGGTGGGAGGTAAAAACTCTGTGCTTCCCGTCGTCAAATGCGCCAAGCAAAGGCATACGAGAGGACCACAATCCCCTCTGGCTCCCGGCGATTGATGTGGCGCGGTCTCGTCTCTGACAACTGTGACATTGAACTTCTTTGGCTTCTTGTGTCCAGAATGACTCCAATACTTAATCCCATCCAAGAATTTAGCCAAATGAGAGCTCCATCCCTTGAAAATATCTCTCAAATCAGACAGTGATATGTAATTGATCATGCTGTCATACACTATTATCTTCAGGGATGGGAGCTGAAGTTGGACGAGAAGCCAGTGACGACGTTCCAAAACAGGGATAAATACATGCGATCATAAGTAATAATTCATTTATTTGCGCACTTATTTATGAATACCTTTAAAAAATTTAAAAAATAAACACTAACCTTATCGACCTCCCACCATGCAGGATAAAGTTTAGCTTGTCCATTGCCCAACAAAAATGATTCATCTCGTTGATTCTTCAAGTGAACTGCGTGAAAAGCCGTCGGCATTATTGTATATAGCGAATTTTTTTTATTTTTCCTAAGCTTCCTTATTATTAGTAGACGTGACACCCACGCATCGATATGCTGTTTTACAAAAAAATACATATATTAGTGAATTACATTAATTTTTAAACAAATTAATCAAAATCATATATAAGACAAATATAAGACTTACCTCCCCATCCAAATAGCCACTGTCTTCAACCCCTAATAGCACACCCCACCAAGACCGATCAAGCAACAAAAACATTTCATCGTTGAGTTTGTTGATGTCAGTGTAACACCCTTGGCTCCGCTCATGTAGATAAAAATCAACTGCGGTCTTAGCCCAAAGGGTATTATCCACAATTGTTTCCGGTAGTTGTCTCCTCTCCACTTCAGATACCGGAAGGGTACTAGCCGGTAACTCATACGAGAGCCAACTCTCATCCATCATGTCCGGAACCGGTGGGGGTTTCTCAATACTTCGATATATTACCCCACGTGAATCGGGCTCTGGAATGGTGGGAGGGACCTCTTCAACGATGACAGTGGCCTCTTGAACGGTGGGGGGAATCTTGAGGGAGAATAGGGGCCTCTTCAACGATTGGAGGGGACTCTTGAGGGATGACCGGTGAGTCGGGCTTCTTCTTGCGGAGTCTTCGCACCATTGGGGTGAACGGAGACGTAATAGCACGTCCACGCCGTCTGATGCATGAACTCCGTCGTGCAAGGAAAACCCGACGTAAAGCATCCACCTTATCGGGCCGCTAAAAAAAATTAATACATAAATCAGTAAATAAACAGACATGATATTAAACAAAGACAAATATGTTTCAAACTAGCATTGTATTCACCCAAGTCATTATTCTATCATAGTTCACAAAATGCTCAGATAATATTCCAGAAGTAAGCACTTATATAAACATTTAAAAGGACAACATATATAAACATTCCAGAAGAAGAATAGTTTACTTTCGCAACACGAAACTTAAAATCGCAACACGAAAATGACTATCGCAACGCGGAAATGGCTATCGCAATGCGAAATGAAAATCGCAACGACAAAATCGCAACGCGAAATGAAATCGCAACGACAAAATCGCAACGCGAAACACAAATCGCATTGCGATTTTCATTTCGCGTTGCGATTTTGTCGTTGCGATTTCATTTCGCATTGCGATTTTGTCGTTGCGATTTTCATTTCGCATTGCGATAGCCATTTCCGCGTTGCGATAGTCATTTTCGTGTTGCGAAAGTAAACTATTCTTCTTCTACAAATTGAAACTTGAATGGATTGCATTACTTCAACCAAAAGACAAAAACAAAACCAAAAACAAATACTAACAAAAACAGTTTAGCAGTATTGGCAGCAACCGAATGAATTACGAGTATGAAAAATCTTAAACTTACCTCGTTGCGTAGAGTATGAACCTCATTCTGCAACGATGCTACCATCTCACGTAGAGCGGCTACCTCACCGCGTAATGTAGACACCTCAACACGCCATGCACCATCGTCTTTGCGTAAAGTACCGACCTCCTCACGCAAGGCATTGACCTCATCACGTAACTCCCCTAACTCATCCCGTTGAGGTGGAGGTAGAGAACAGGGAGATAAACGTCGTGGCATCTTTGTCGGTCGCCTATCTTGCGGTGATGGTGGAGAAGAGGCTCGATGATGTGACAGAATAGGTGATGGCTGTCGTTGTGGAGGTGTATAGCTGGGTCGATCAGATGATGGCTCTGGGTGAGGTGATAGCTCTGGGCGAGGTGATGGCTCCCGAAGTGGAGGCTGCTCATCAACCGTTCCATCAAAAAAACACTTACTAGCTTGCCACCAATTAGTGGCAAGCTCAGCTTCCGTGGGTGTCAGCCTCTGTAGAGGAGTGTTGGCCTCCTAACAATATAAAAGCTCAAACAAAGTTAAACGTGTACTAGTAATAACTTGTTTATAAACATATGGTAGTATTTATGTTAACTTACATTATTTATTGTCGTATACCGTAGTAAATCTTCCCATTGCAAGGTTCGTTTCCTCTTCCAGGAAATAGCCCTGGGAATATTATTTGAAGTTTTTATTGCATATGTCTTCATGGCGGGAAATGCCTCAAATATCCAAATCTACAAACAATATAATAACAAACATTAGTAATTGTTAAATAATTACTTATAATTTTGGAAACATTATATAAAAATTCTTAACTTAAAGGCCCAAATAAAGCCTGTCAAAGTGTATTTGGAACCATCGCCATGCAAACTTTTTCGATCATACAAGGCAGACGATAACTTATTCCATGTAGCTTTCCATAAATACGAGCCCCACGGAAACAGGTTCCACGCATTTAGGTCTTCTACCAATTTGATTAGATCATTTGGAATAGGTTGTCTGGCCTCTCTGCCTAAAAAGCCGGCATGCAAAAGAATTAGAAGGCATACTCAGACAACGTCGACGTCATCCATCCGAGTAAAACCATCTTTCTTATTCAATAATATCGTCAGGTCTTCCACGTGTAGATTCAGCCTCTCCAGCTCAGGAAAAACCTGGGATAACCATGATGGGCGGGTAATGTGTCTAGTGCATCGACCTACATCATCGTGTCCGAAGCGTAGACCGGTGATTAAGCAAAACTCCTCCCGCCCAAAACACGTATACGCCGGTGGAAAATCAAACCATATCTCTTCATCACGACGTTGTATAGTATCTGGTAGATCCCTAGTCATGGTTTGAAGAAATAGGTGTGTCAACATCGCATCTCCACCGGGATGTTGTACTTTCAGCCATGGCCCGAAGCAAGTATCCTCAAACATTTTTCTTTGTGCAGGTGAAAGCTTCGACGCAATTGTTTTGGCCAGGCTGACTTTATTTCTTAAAGTTAATTGAGCCGAATAAAAGTTCTACAAAAACAATAAACATACTAAGTTAGATATACCAAAAACTACACTGTGAAGATATACCAAAAACAATAATAAACATAAAGAGTAGCAGTTTATTCTTCAAACTTAAATTTGCAACACTGTGAATTTCTTATCTGTCTTTGTTTTTTGGTTGAAGTAATGCAATTCATTCAAGTTTCAATTTGCAGAAGAAGAATAGTTTCTGAAAATGAAAATCGCAACACGAAAATGACTATCGCAACGAGAGAATCGCAACGCGAAACTAAAATCGCGTTGCGATTCTCGGTTGATTTAATAAGCAATCTAAGTGAAATGGTTAATCTATTATTGAAATTACCAGTAAACTTATCATCAATTTCAATATGAAAAACCTAATAATAATGTAAAAATTTCAAAAAGAAAATAATTAAAAAAACTAACCCTCGTTGGTTGATTTGGTTGATTTTCCATTTCTGATTGTGAGGGTGGCTCTGAGAGATGGAGATAGACGGATTTCGCCGGAGATGGGGACGGATTTCGTCGGAGATGGGTGAGAGAGTGAGAGATGGAGATGGGACTGAGTTGTGATTTTAGGTTTTAGGTTATGAGTTGCGATTACGGGATATACTGTGGACGGTTCAGTGTTCCAATATATTAATATTCGTGTTTGGAATTTAAAAATAAAATACTTGGCCAGGATACTAATGGCGCTTTGAAAATCGCATTGCGATTATGTATTATCGCGTTGCGAAAGTCAGAATCGCGTTGCGAAAGTCAGTATCGCGTTGCGAAAGTAAGTATCTCGTTGCGATTTTGTATTATCGCATTGCGATAGTCAGTATCGCATTGCGATTTACTTATTCGCAACGACACTGTAGACCATCGCAACGCGATTTTCAACTATCGCATTGCGAAAATGCAACGCGAATTTGCGATAATGGAGATCGCGTTGCGAATTAGCGATCGCATTGCGATTTTGTTGGTCATTTTGGCAAATTCGGAAAAAATTGGTTAAAATCGTATATTATATGGGATTTTTGGTCACTGAGGTTATTTTCTCTAATAAATTTAGTTCTGCTATGTCACGTGTGTCCATAAAAGGTTGCAACTTCCTAAGGGTTATTAGGCATTTGAGATCCTATTTTCAAAGATGCTCTTCTAAAGCTTCTAATGTGGACTTGTGGAGTTCTCCATAGGTATTATTATGCAGAGGTAATTCGGTAGAGGTATATATAAAAAATACTTGCATTCTTGCGCGCCAATGGCATGAAGCTAGACATAAATAGCTGCAACTTTCTGTAACAGAACTCGCAGGAAAGTCAACACTTGAACAAAAATGTCCCATCTGTCGTGCCTGAAACTCAAGCAGGTGATATGTTTTTGTCTTTGACTTTGTCTTACATGGACTTTTTCTCATAAAGATAATAATACATTACTTCATGTTCAGATTGTTTCAACAGACTGTTTTGGATGGTTGCATGTTGAGGTCCAAGGAAAAAATCTTATTCCTGGGTTGTTAATGGATGTCTAACTGGAAACAAGCTCTAGTTAACCTCGGCTGTTAACCGAGGTTGTAAGTTTTATAGGCTGCAGCAGATCATATCACAAACGGGTTGTCACTGAAACTTGAAATTGATTCAATCTCAAATGTCAAGCAGGATTTGATAAATCGATACACATTCGGTAGTGTTCTTGTTGCACACATTCAGATACCCCACAATATACTTTTGCTACTACTATATCTACCAACTTGATGCCAAAATGGACGCATTCAATATAAACACATTTGACTCATCAGCGACGATTTCTATATGTGACTCATAAACGGCATGGATCCTCAATTAAAACATGCTTTCAGATATACCCTTCCTTGCCCGGAAACGTAGTTAGCCTCCGAAGCCGATGTGCACCTCATGTGTTCTTCCTTCCCATCCTTTTTTATATATAGAAAAAACATTCCTGATATTCCCTCCCTAGTTTCTAATGATGCATTGTTTTTTGACCTGAGGAAGCTTGGTTACCGGTGGATGTCACTCTTGGAACCAATCTGTGAAATTACAGACAAGAAACATGTTAAGTTTCAGTACTAACTTATAGACCCGAGGAAGCCAGATTACCGATACAAGTCACGGTCCGCACCACCGGACTGACACCAATCCTAAAACAGCAGAGCAATAAAATGAAAAGCGTCACTATCTCTACAAGAACTGTCTGTGATTTGTCCCAACTAGTTCCTCAACTTGAAAGTCAAGCAGTACATTGGAATCACAGCTTTGTTATTCGGATCAGGCCTGGCTGGTTTGCACCATCTAACTGCTAATTATCTTAAGCAGGTTGACCAAAAAGTATGGTTTAAGGTGATTGGTAGCGGAAGTTTCATGTTGGATCACAGCAATCAAACTACATGCAGCCGGAAACAAGGAAACGGCATAAGGAAATACCTTATCGAGGGGGCTTTTTGATGTTCTCTGTCCATGATAAAAACCTGGCAGGGGTGTAGCTTTAAAATTAAGGCTCTGCCTTAATTTTTTTATCTCTGCATCTTTGTTATCCTGTGTCAATTATATAGTGTTAAGCAATGGACGTTGTCTAAATTAAGAAATCATATGCCAGTAAGTATATCTAAGAGTGATGACATTTTCTTTATCTTAGAAACCGACAACCAAACGGCCTCTCTGATTAATATCTCTATCTTATGTTTGATTCATTACAAGACATCCTCAACAAAGAAAGTTGATGGTACCTTTGATTTAGTCTGTAGATTTCTTGCTGCTTCCCTGTCATTGGATTTTCCTTCCGGTTTCTTGGAGAACTGAAATAAAGGATATGAAATGTCGTAAAGATGAACAATGTGCATCAATATCGAAACAAATTGTGTGTGTGTTACGAAAGGGAATAGAACGGAGTCTTCATTGCATACCTCTTTTTTTCGCTCAGCTCTTTTGTCACTTTTCAAGCCGGAATAAGATGGAGCAGCCTTAGCATTCTTTTTCTCCATGCTATTAACTCTACAAGACCTGTCACAAACCAGTTAATGCTGCTTATAACTATTAAAAGTTCATGTGGTATGAATTTTAAATCCAGGCAAGTTCATGTGGACCTGCCAATTTAAGGCCGTGAAGAAGCTAAGAGTGCTTGAAGTAAATGACTTGTGTACACACATATATACGTATCTGAGTTCTCACATGCTCAATGATAGCTTTTTCATATTTTGACACTGTCATCACCCTATTAATATTAGCTTTAACAGAAGAACTAGTTGAACACAAATTCACCAAGGTATGCATTTGTCATTCTGAAATCTTTCGACGTAGAAGCTTACCCGCCATTCTCCTTTTGTGGAGTCGTCAAAGATGGAACCCTCAATTCTCTCCCCTTCGCAGGAACCTGCAAGAAAAGTTGAAACAAAAGATCCATGAATTTGAATTCAGCAGTAAAAAATGTCAGGTAGATCTTAAGGATTAAAACTTTAAAAAGATAACATAATACCGTTTTTGCTGCTGCAGATTGTTCCTGAGTGGAAGGTTTCAATTGATTATAACTACTCTGAAATGTCTTAAATGCTCGCTTCACAATGTCCTTATCTCCCATTTTCTCCATAAACAACGATTTCCTTGTTGCAGGAAGGGAAGCCGGGCCAGGGCTCGAGGGATCTAAACTAAGAGACATGTGCAAGGATCTAGGAGTCACTTTCTTGCTTTGCTCCACAGAAGAATTTTTGGACTTGATTGATGAATAAGATAATGTAGTTCCTGCTTTCAATCGAGTTCTCGGAGCAGATGACGTAGGAGTTAATGTCGGCTTTGATGCTCTAGATGTGGTAACTTGTGGTGTTTTAATCACAGGGGAGGCAGGTTTCTTCTTTTTCCTCGAATCATTCCTCTCCTTATTCACTGCTGTGATCTACACAAACAAACACAACAAATTCACTTGAGTCAAGCTTTTCCAATATACAAATCAATTCCAAAGAAACATCATGATGGTAATGATGATGAATTCACCTTATGAGATTGTCCAGATTGATCCAATCTCAAGCTTTTATCTTCAATCTCGGGAGTGCTATCGACGACATTTTCCCATCTCTGCGATAACTCGATAACATCTCGAAACTCCTCTGAAGGAGTTTCCATTTCTTTTTTCACCAAAAAGGCTTCTTCAAGAGAAGTTTCTTCTGGTTTGTTTAACTCTTCAGGACTTTCTACTGTTTTCTCTTCATTCTCTACCATGCTATTTATTCTCTCTTTCAATTCCTCAACCCATGAATCTCGACACTTTATGGCAATTTCAGGCACCTGATTCGGCTCATCTCCTTCGGTAACCGCACTTAACAAGTTAATTTCTTGCTTATCTACTTCATGGCCATTAGATTTACGAACCGGATCTCCTTCATCGGGCTTCTCTTGAGCCAGTAACTCAGCTTTCCGAGCAGCAATCTTCTTGTAATGTTCTTCAAAGTAAGCCTTTTTCTGGGCAACTGATCCAGGAGTAGCACATTTCTCAACCTCTTCCAAGTACTTGTTTGGGGAAAAAGTCGACCATTTCTCCCAAGAAAGTGAATCATTCTCAAATCTACCAAACGAGACCGATACTTCAAGAGCTGGATTTGAAGAACTCATTGCCTTTAAATTCAAGAATAACAAAGGCGTTGTAAGCAATTATAAAGTGCGAAATTCCCAATAACAAACAAAATTAGATTCAAAAACACAATAATGGAAGAAGGTGAATTAAAAACGAAGGGGCCAACAACCAACTCCTTTTTTTTCAGATCAAAAGGACAAAGTGAAGTACCTTAAAATTCCTTACTTGGAGCGATTAAATTCCCAACACCACCATGAAAAGTTCAAGCTTGGATCACTAGAAAGACCCAAAGAGAATCTTCGAATAAATTGAAAAAACAAATATTAAGACACTTAAAAGAAACGATTAATGGAAGGCATGTGGACTGGTGACATGTGTGTATAATTTAAGCTCCCACACAAACACTTTCTACTATTATCACATTCACCTTTTCATATTAAAAAAGTAGAAAACTTTGTCTGTTTCTAGTACTGTGGGAAGTCCCAAAGCAAAAAACAAAAACAAAACAAAAGTACCCAAAGTTGATTTAGCTTTGGAGCTTGTTAATATCATATTATCATGAATAAGTACTCATGTTTGAAGTGGCAAAACAATGGGCGGAAAATTCAGCCAAAATCTGGGAGAAAAGAGAGTGATAATGAGATGAAAATGGGAAAAGAAAAGGGTCCACCATGGAAAGTAGTGAAGTAAAGACTGATGACAGAGAGAGGGAGACCAACTACTTGCTTTGCTGAATTAAATACCACTACAGCTCAAAGTCTGCCTGTGGTTGTGGTGGTGGAATGTGGACCCTTGACTTTTCAGTTTTGTTTAACTCGTATGATGTGTGTCATCGTCCTGGAGCTGCTACATTATTGTCCAAGGATGGAACAGAATCACGAGAGTTCGATTTCATATCTGTTTTATAACTTGTATCTTTGCAATGTATTATTAGAAAATATGTAATATGATGTTTATTATACGACGATAGTTTTTACCACTGTTATAGGCTCTTAACAACAACAACAACAACAACAAAACCCAATTCCCATATGTATGGGGTAAGGGGGAGGTAGGGTAGTAGGCTACCCCCAACGCCAGGTTAAGAGTAGCTTCCGTGGAAGACCTCCGGCAGTCAGAAAATTAAAAATTTAGATAAAATGTAATGCATGTATAAATAAATACATAAAAACATAGCTAATCAGTATTCATATGCAGTCATTAAAATCATATGTGCGTCTGTAACGGGAATTAATCCCTGCATAATAATCCCTGCGAAAGAATCTCTGCATATAGACAGAAACATCATCAGTCAAATTGTGATTTTGATATAATCAGTCAAATTGTTATCTTATGATTCTTTTTAAAAGTTTAGGATGTTAAGTAAATACAATACTTCATCAAGGATATACATGATTTTATGCTAAAACGATAAATTTATAAAATTTTAAGAGATAAAAATAAATTATCATTGAAAAATATATAAAAAAATGAGAATTTAAATTTTTTAAGAAATAATCGTCCTCATCAATTCCTTCTAATAAGTGCGAGCATTAAAACTCTTCTGCATGTATTTGCTCTGTGCAAATCAGCAACCAATTTATATCATAGGAACGTAAACACAAGGGCTTAAAGCTAAACCCAGAATTTCTAAACAGTTAAAATGGAACAATTCTGCCCCATAATCAAAGTATTCCATTGGGATACAACAAAATAAATCTGTAGCTGGGTCAGCTTCATTTGTTTCTTTATTCACCTTTCTTCCAAGATTTATTGTGGGGGAAAAAACTCAAAAAGAATGATGTTCCAAGGAAATCTCAAATTTATGGAAGTGTAGCTCTTACTTCTTTCCTATCTGCTCCAAATGACTGCAGTTAAATAAAATCCTGTTAGAATCACCGACAAACATGAAACAACAGTAGCCACTTGGTATGAGCCAGAAACCAATTTGTTTCAACAAGATAATTTCCTACTCCATACAACATTATATATAGAGGCAGAATACACATATACAATAGAATTGGGTCTCATGTACCATTGAGTCAGTGAAGTTTCCTCATCTATTACTTTTATATTCATGTTAGCGACATGACCGACAAAAGAATTTTAAGTCATGGTTCCCACCTATGATCTTCAACTTTATTTTCAAAGTATCTAGGATCATGATGGATGTTAAACAAAATCATGGAAACCAAAAATTGAAGGGATCGTCATAACATTTTTCCCATGGACATAGAAGCCTACAAGCTTTCATTGGGTGGTAATTTCTTGCCCGTTTTTCATGGGGAACTTGGTATGAAATAAACGGACTAACAATTAGACTAGTTTGGATTATCTATTTTTTCAAAATAGACTTGTGATGATCAGTTTAAGCAAAGCTCTACGTTTGAAGGATACCATTCTTACCTGATAGCAATGTTACTTCAAAAAGAAATGGACAAAGGAGCTCATTCATTGATGAAATTCACAACTTACCTAATAGGACGAAGGAACATATGCAAATAAAGGAAGTAAAAAGAAAGAACATTTATTAAGTATATGTTTCATAACTCAACACCCAAACCTTTAGCGTACACATCAGTGAAGAGTTGAGAGGATTCAGGCACTGGATTTTCCTGGAATCAAAGAAAGGAGAAAGAACCAATGTTGGAAACATTACACTGAAAACTAGACAAAATTTCTAAATGATATTATAATTAAAAAAAATACATACATATAAATTATATACAATCATCTAAAATCAGAATCACAAAATCAAAATGAAGACAACAAAAGTTGTCTTACCTTAGCTTGAGCAACTGCATTGTCTAACTCTTTTCTTACTTCCTTCTCAATGTCCTGAAATTTTTCCCCGTTGTTTTAATATGTCTATCACCACAAGTCTTAACAAAATTTCAACTCTTTCTCAGTAGCTAGGTCATGCAACAATATTAGGTTCCTAATTCTTTCAATCAGATCACGCTCCTAGAAACATCGCATCTAGAATGTTAGTTTTGGATTCACTTGATTATAATACAACATGAAATATCTAACATTTAACAAACGAATCCCTGAAAAAGTAATGTGGTTGAACATCAACCTGTCTAACACCAGTAATCTCATCACGGGTTCGATACGTGCTTCCAGGGTCAGACATGGAATGACCGTGATACCTATAAGTGTCCATTTCAAGAATCTGCATATAAGCAGCATGAATTAATATAAATTCATTATGCAAAAAATTATTGAAAATAGTTTTAAGATTTTCCAAAGGAAATAGCAGCATGTAAATATTTTTCATCAATTAATTAGATAGAATGCAATTGTGCAATCATTCCAACAATACCACTCCAATTGTCATGACTTATAAGCCCACAAAATTAGGAGTCATATATCATCATTAGGCATATTGTAGAATGAAGTTTCCACAACTTTAACTCCACTTTAGTAGATTACTTTAAGCTTTCAGATTGTAACTCTGAAAGCGAGTAGCATAGAGGGTATAATCGAGCTGAGCAGATGTTTTGCCAAGTTTGATCCAATTCAACTCTAAAACTCAATACTCGAAGCTCAACTGAGCTTCATTTTTATGCTTGAGCTTTGCTTGCATGTTACTCAATCAGCTAGGGGTCAATTGATAGTCTCAATTAGGCAACTCAAAACAACAATACATACAATTCCAGCTAAAATTCAGAATCTCATAGAAAAATAATTTTTTTTTTACTAAAAGTCTGAAATTATGAACCCAATGAAGCTATGAATTGAAGTAACAAAAAACTGCTAGACAATCACTAGCAAGGTACACATGCCCATCCCAAAGGTAACAAGTGTCCTGTATAGTCTAGTCTGTTATATGCAGATCTGTTGTATTTTCGTACTTCTGAAATCCAGTCAAGGAGTAACCTGACGATCTTAAGGCTTGGGATGCAATACGAACATAATATTGCATTATATATCAAGATACAATTATCACACTCCAAATTTTATAGATCAATGCCATAAAACAGATTGAAGCAAGCACGATATACCAACAAAGAGTTCTATTCCCTAGCTTGTTGTTCAAATGTTGTGAACCAAATATCAGTTAATCAGAAAAGGTTTCAAACAGAAACATGTATCCTCTCAGTTAAAGTATAGAACAGAAATAATAACATATTCTCCAAGTGTAGTAACTATAGAGAAGAATAGTAGAATTATCTGGTAAGGTTAAGCATGTAGAATTAGCTTATAAGGTTATGGACTTTGTTTGAATATGATCAATCATGTGGCTGAGGTTTTGATTCACTAATAGCAATAGGTATAAACAATATAACACAAATTAAACCAACATTAAGATGAGTGATGTAGAAAACCAAAGTTTTCTCAAGCTGAACGTGGAAAATTCACACCATTAAATAAGGAGAAATTAATATATAAAAAATGGCAAGCAAAAGAAAACAATGAAAAACTTAATAATTAAGTGCCGTATGAATAAACTTACAATTGGTCCATTCTTCAAGGCATGTTCTTTGGAAAATGTGCAAGCTTGCTTCACAGCAAGAGCATCCATTTCATCCACCTACAAGATATGAAGCATATGAGAAAATAGAATTAAAGTAGGGTGCAGACATTTTTTGTCAAAAAAATTATGCTTCTTAAGCTGAGCAAAAGGTTTTTGCTATAAAGATGTACTATAAAGTATTCTTTTTGCATAAAAGCCTTACTTACACTTACACCTTAGAAAACAAACAAACTCAATTATTTAAGAACCAATAGTATAAGCAGGAAAAAGCCCTTGAGATTCTGCATTTTTTAAACTTCAGTCAAACATTTAAGCTCCAATGTAAAAGAATAATACAACAAAAAAAACAATATAAACCAGCACAAGAAGCTTCTCGCATAGCTCAAAATCACAACTATCACAGCTTTCTACCATTGACTACTAATCACTATAATGATATATAATGGTCAGTTTGTTTACCATTCACTGATCACTATAATGACATATAGTGGTCCTAGTTGCTTCAAAATCACATGCATCTAAATTCCCATTTACTTAATAGTCAAAATAACATTACTAAATAACCAAAAAAATCATATCTCAGCAAACCAAGTCTCACCTTCAAACCAGGAGCATAATCCCCACGTTTGTAGTAAGCAGGACTCTTCGCTGCTCGCCACTCTGCCGTCCCCATACCATCTGTTACATAAAAAAAACATATAAATAAAATTCACGAAATGCTGATACTTATGAAACAATAAAATTTCATTCCAGTTCAAACGGCTCACAATGATTATTCTCGCAGACCAAAATTGCAGGCAGATCCCAGAGTGCAGAGATATTCAAATTCTCAAACAACTGCCCTTGATTAGCGGCCCCATCACCGTACAAAGCAAAGGTCACGGCTTCGTCTTTACAATACTTTTGAGCAAACGCCAAGCCACACCCTAACGGAACCTGGGCTCCGACGATTCCGTGACCGCCATAAAAATTTGAATCCTTCTTGTAAAAATGCATCGAACCTCCTTTACCCCTCGAACACCCAGCCTGGCGTCCATTCAGCTCCGCGAAAACTTCCAGCAGGGTCCCACCGCGAGCGACGAACGTGCAGTGGTCACGATAGGAGGTTATGATGC